TTCTACCTATACCTGGGTAGGATTGTTGACCGCATGCATTCGGACTGATCCAACATTTGGAATGAACCTGGACAATCATTAGCTCCTGATTCCTGAACCATTAACAAGCTTGTGCAGTGGAGCCAGACCCACCATGGCAGAGTTATCAATTTCAAATTGCTTTATATTATGAAAAGTTGTGAAAATATCTTAGAGGTGGTCATATTGTTGTTGGCTCCTTCATTGACAGCGATTCAACGAAACAATCATCTTCTGAGTTCATTGGTCATTCCACAGGCTTGCCATACTTATCAGTGATGACTTGAAAGAGGACCCTTAGATGCTTTAAGCAAATTATTAAATTAACAAGATAGACAACTTCATATGCAGAAAATAAGCGTGTTCTGTTCTCCGCCCGTCAGTAGCTTTCATCAGGGCATTTTGTTCTTTTACCACCTTAATTTCACCTAATTTCTTTTTCGGGTTTTTTTTTTTTTGGGGGGGGGGGGGGGGGGGGGGAGGGGAAGTGATTATAGTTTCTTACTAGATTTTCTATTCGCCCAAGAACTTCCAATGACATTCGGGCCGAATCTAAGAATGTAATGCTGCCAAACAAAACAAGTTTAGCAATGGGCCTTAGCTCGGTTGGTACACCCTTGAATAGTTGAAATACAGACGTGAGTTTAAATCCAGATGTTAATATCCGTTGAACATAATAAAGTTATTCAAGGGAAAAAAAGTCTAAATCCTGATGAATCTAAGAATGTAATGCTGTCAAACAAAACAAGTTTACCAACGGGCCTTAGTTCATTTCATAGTGCTTCGTACACACTTGAGCTGTTGAAATACCGACGTGAGTTCGAATCCAAATGCAACTTGTTGTCAATGGAAAAGAAAAAAAAAGTTCAATCGCGACATCAGTTTAAAGTTAAAATTGGAACAATACAGAGAGGAAAATTAGCATGGCCCCTACAAGGAGGAAAATAAAACAAATAAAATGTTTGCCCAAAACCTGAGTTTAACTAAAAGGACAAAAAGACGAGGAATACAAAAAAAAGGATACTGAGAAAACGAAATTTATTTCATAGTTTCGTTTTGGCAAAATAACACTCACTCAAATTTTGGGATTATGAGAATAGCCATTAAATTTAGGAGAATGTACGTGTGCAGTGTTCACAGCCAAATGCATAATATGCACGCTGATGTACACAAGAAATAGTTACAGTCTGGCGAGGCTACTTCGGTAATTTCGAAACTTTCTTTTTCAAAATATATATAGCTCGGTTATATAATATTATATGCTTATATCCTAAGCTTCCAGCCGGGCCGCCCGGGTCCCGGGTGGCCAGCGCGTGTAAGGACCAAGGAAGCTCTCAGCAAAAAAAAAAAAAAAAAAAAAAAATGTTATGCAGAAAAATAAACTGAACAACTTTTGCCTCAAGCTCACATCGAAATT